AAACCAAATGAATTTAACAGTTTTTGTTTTAGTAAACTTTCTATTGATTGATCAGTTGTATACACCTATAAAATTCACCTTTTTAAAAAATGCATATCAGTCACGTGTATCTACGGTTATATGATAGATTATGTAGATAATTAAAGTGTACACATACAGACTGAGTTTTGTAATTTAACACACATTTTATGAAGCATCTACAACAATCCACAACTTAGTTCTTATTCTTTTAGGTTAGTGAATTAGTTAATGTTACTTAACACATCATTTAAGTTTTTGGTTGAGATCATGAACCGATTGATGTCAGACCATCTTTAGAAACCTGAAAGCACTGGACAGCCGTTTCGTCCTATTGTGGGACTCCTCAGCAGTGCGGATACACGATCCCACTCGCGAGATTCGAACACGGGGCCTTCGGTCTCGCGCGCGAACGCTTAACGTACTGGACCACTGAGTCGGCATCCAATGATGATAGTGTCTAACATCAACCAGTCCACGAAATTGCGCGACCAACTTCCATTGTACTGAGGTAAATACCTGTCTCTACCCGACATGGATTAGCTCCACTGGTCACGGCTTCTCACTAGAACTCCGAGAATTCCCTCACGAAGCTAGTCACTAGTGAGCACATGTTGATTACTAGTATAGGGGTTGTGGAGATTATTAAGTTTTTGGTTGAGATCATGAACTTTTTGTGTTGAGGAGCATAGGTCGCCTACCAGCATTCTCTATCTAACCCTGTCCTAAACAATCCTTTCTAATTGCTATTCATCTTTTTCATATATTCCAATTCCCTACATAATGTGTTCTTTGGCCTTCATCTTTTCGCTGTTCCCCTTCAAAATTCCAAGTAAGAGTTTCCCTCCTAATGCACTTTGATGATTTTCATAATGTATATCCTATACACATCCAGTGGTTTTTTCTAATTTCCTCTTCAGTTGGAGGCTGGTTTGTCCTTCCCTACAGTAGACTGTTGCTGATGGTATCTGACCAACGGACATTGATTATTTTGCGTAGACAACTGTTTATACATAGCACATATCGTATAACAATTGGAAAACAGATATAAGTTGATGATTCATGAGTCGACAACAAATATATGCATGTTGCTCTCCACCCTGCAGGATATCTCATTTGAGTCAAGGAGCGTAAAAAGATAAGGGCTGATTTATCATTACCATAATGTAATTCGCAATCATTTCTTATCATTAAGAAAACTGTTTAGTATAATGGGTAAAACTAGTTTAGAGTATTTGAACATTATATTCCAGTCTATATCAGTTCTTAATATCCACGTCAACGTAACAAATAGTTCAAGTTTTTTTATATTTATAAGTATAGGGTTTTATTGAGATCATGAGACAATCACTATTAAAAAGTTATAAGCACTGGATGGCCATTTTGTCCCATCATCGGACTCTTCGGCAGTGAACATACACGAACCCATATACAAAACTCGAGCCCAGAAACTTCGGTCTTGCGAGAACACTTAACCATCAAACCAATGAGTCGGCATACAATCATTTTATTATGTTGTTTAGGTCTATGTTAAATAATTGATGGTCATCAAGTAAGTTGTTATTAGTGTAGATTGTGATAAGATGGAAAGAAAAGTCAATGTTCGATTGATTTACTTATTATGAGTTCTATTCAATATTACATTCAGTCACTTTCAGTTGATTCTCTACTCAATGAGACAAATATGTTTAAAATAAGTTCAAATTAATTGTAACTTGGGCATATGAGGATCAAACACTGTTTCATGGGGGGAGGATGAACCAGGAAAATTTAAAATCCGGATCTTCAAAAAAAGGGGAGGTCATATGATGGGAAAGAAAAGTCAATTTTCGATTGATTTAATCATTATGAGTTTTATTCAACATTCAACATCCGTTTTGATCCGACTAGGGTCGTCGGTGTGTTTTAGGGGTTAATAAAGCTTCAATTATACTAGTCTTTGTGTTCATACTTTCGCATTATGGAAATTGCAGAGGTCCCTCGTTTTGAGTATAAGTGATAAGAGTCCCCGATACAACAGTCAGCAACGACCAGATATAACAAGTAACATTGAAACAACAAGTTATAACAATTGGGCGACGGGGATTTCGGAAATCATTGAAAAGTTATAACGGATTGCTGTTATACTTACAAATAACTGGGAGAAATCACTCCCTGAAATTATTTTCCCAGTTACTTAAAATTGTAAAAACAAAAGGAACACAACAAAGTTGATTGAATTGATTCTTTGATAATATAAAGAGGTTTCAGTGAAGAAGACCCTCTTTTCTACGGTATCATGTACTACAACTGTACAATTGGATTTATGGTCATTTCTTACATATAGTAGTCTATGATAAAAATAGATTATTGAGACATTAAATAAGACGACGGTAATAAATCACAAATTCAGTTACATGAGTTATTCATCAAGAACTTCAAGTCAAATTGATATTAAAAGCAGAATTCAATTTTAAGCACCAGACATGCTTGCAGATAGTTTGATAGCCATATTTTAGCCATAGTGAGAAAAGTCAGTCAGTCAGTTACAACGTAGGACGGGGCACATACATTCATCAGTTCAAGTTGCTACACCTCATTAGCACAGCAAGACGAACACTGTATTCATAGAAGCAGTTAACTCAATGGTGTAATATATAAAGGAAAGATATTATGTAAGGATATAGTACAGAACGTATGCCCAACGACTGACTGCCCCGACGTGCGATGTTCAATGGTATAGGAGTAGGTTGGAAGAAAGCTAGGGGCGACCAGACCAAAACATGGCACAAGTGCATGAAGTCACTGACAAGTTGTCTGAGTCATGTTGGTAGGTGTAGACTACCTGGTTGGGGACCGAGAGATGATTGCAACCGATGGTTAGAGACCCTGAATGACACATGGCTCAAAATCGTTTGCAATGGCGCAGGTGCATACACTCTTTGTGTTTTCCCAAATTTTAATCTCCTGATTACTCCTTGTCTCTTTTCTCTCTTCTCAAATTTATTTCACTGGATCATACTCTTTAAATAACATCTCCAAACCCTAATCTTTCCGATTACTGCTTATACTCTTACTACCTCTACCACTACGGGATTTGAATCGACAACTGCATCTCTGTGCTAATGTGGTATGGCAACTCGAACTGATGTACGTACGTACGTACGGAGTTCTACCTTGTTACTGACTGAAAGAATGATATGAAGTAATTTGAATTTCATATTTTAAGGGAAGATAGACAGTGTACACACGCCATTGTGATCGATTCTGAGCCATGTCACCCAAAGTCTCCAACCATTGATTACGATATTCGCGCGGACCCAACTAAGTACTCTACATCTATCAACATGGCTCAGACTAGAAGCAAGTGAATTCAAGCACTGATACCGCGTTTTGGTATGGCCGCTCCTAACTTTTATCCAACTATCCCCAACACTACTCAGCATTGTGCGTCGTGGTAATCGGTGTTCAGGCACACGTAACACGTGGCGCAACCATCTCAGTCGATGAAGATTCACAACCTCATCAACTGATTTTTCATCCTTTCCTAATACCCTGCGTCTAATCTGGTTGTATTTCATTTAGAAAAAGTAAATAGCATATCTCTAAATACCCAGTGGTAATTAGACAGTAACGATTTAGGAATAGTTCAGTTACTATAACTGACTAACTGGAGCTAATATGGTGAGGCACGTCTCTCTACGTATACAATATCCATTCCTTAATGTCATTTGTCACCACTGCAAAGAGATTGGTCGCATTAAGTGGATTTATGTCCTATTACTATCGTCTCCGCAGAGGTGTAAACGAAGAAGACGAATATTTATTTATTTGAACACTTAAATATTGGTACAAAGCGGCACCGAATACATATGCGCCACAAGTCCCTTTATTTGTATGTGAACTGTGATATTGCCCGAGTGCCCAAACCAATGCAGATGGCTTTTTTTAGGTAGCCTTCGACCCATAGGTCTGATCTACAAGGTGGTAGAGAAACCTCAGAATATGCAGTCCCATAGTAGCCGGTGACTAATAATTGGTCCATGCATTATTTGTTCCCTCAGGATCCTGGAGCCTATGTGCACTATTGGTTTTGAATCAGGGTTTTTCAACTCCTCCAGGTGGATCCTCCATATCTACCAACCGGGTTACAACGCCGGACATTTGCATTTCGCCCTCTCAATTCCGTAAACAACAGTAATGCCGCACGAAGGGAGTAGATAAATTGAAGAATGACATTATCCACACCACTGCAACCAATTTTGTATTCATTATGTTACAATTATAACGCGTTTCAAATTTTTTGCAAGAAAATCAAATGGATAGTGATGAGTAACCTTCACTAAGAAAAATAGCTCTACCATAATAGATTAGATAAAAGTAAATTGATCAGTCAATTCAAAGTTTAAGAAAAAATAGACAGAAAGATCCCTTTTAGTAAAAATTCCCACTTTTTTATAGAAAGTACGCAAAAATCGTAACAAGATCGCAATTGGCTTCGACTCAGACATACGACCGATAATGTCTCAAGCCACCAAGCTGCACTATCTCTTAGATCACAACCAGGGAATCATAGTAAACAGATAGATGTCATACCCCAAGACAAGGTTTTAAACTTACTACCTATCTTTTTTCAACCAATTCCAGCTTCGGTAAATAAGGCGCGATTTAAGAGTCATTGGAATGACACTCATAGCATTTATCCACGTCACCGAACCCGTTGTTTCAAGATGGTGACACCGATTAGACCCGACCACACGTTCCCGAACTTGAGTTAATATGCACTGTTACATGTATACTATATTGTTAGGGGTTTGTAGTTCCCCGTTGTTAATATTCAGAACTAAAACTGAGTAGTTATTGAAATACGTAAATCGTGAGCGGTTTGCATCAACATAACCTAGTGGTTACAATGTGAACTGGGATGAGTCCTAGGTAGGATAAGATGCATGACCTAGATTCCACAACAATCCAACTATATTAAAAACCATTCACGTATTATTAAAACTATAATTACTCAGTTGGGAGAAGATAGTAGGCAGGTTTAACAAAAAGAACTATTTACATGGGAAAATGGAGACCAAAACGTTGAAGAAAGGACAAACGTAGAATATAATGTTAGTGAATTATATGACCAAAGGAAATCTCATTTTTAAATGAAAGAATTGTAGGTCATATGAAAACATATTGTCATATACAAGAAGTAGTATTTTACAAATGTACTCATAGTGCAGAAATTACAGTCATGTAGTCATTCATTTGTATAAGCAAATAAGGTTGAATGTATATTTTCTTCTTCACCATAATGTCCATGGAGATAAACGCAAGTGATATACTGGAACCATAGAAACATTAACAGGAAAATCAACTAATGCTTTCGTTAGATTTAAATTATCCAAAGCAGTGGTTATTGAATGCCTTTAAAAATTAAAGAGAAAAATTAAATGTAAATCTAGTTAATTATTTTTGAAATCACCAAAACCAGTTAATACTTATATGTATCCGACTAAATTTTGTTTCCTGTTGAGCTTATTACTACGAAATTTTGTCAGATACCGCCACATTGGGACTGATGAGGCTCCCAAGATAATTGAAACGATCGGTACATTTAATTACTTGACTTCCTATCACTGATTCAGATGACAGGGAAAATCAATTCCAAGGCAAGATTTTGAATTCGGAGGAAGAGAAGAGCATCCAAAACATCCTTGCTTCGTTGTTTGACGTGGTCAGAAGACTACATTGTGTCAGTGTCTTCACCAAACATAACTATATCATCTGAGTCAATAAGTAAATATCCTGGTAGACCAGCAGCTAAAATGTCAGGCGATGGAAGTGTCATTTTGAAAAGCATGTCGACCACAAAGTCAAACGAAAACGGGGGAAGTGTACAATCCAGACAAACACTATTTAAAGTTATAATTTCTGATAACATTTCGACATAAACTCAGACTCAACCAGAAGTGTTTAAGTGGAGCATCTACTATGTTAATGTACTTTTTTGGTACGTATTGCAATGACAGAGGCTGCCTTAAAACTTGTCGATTTACAGGATAAAATGTCGCCTAGGGGTCGAGAAATTTAACTATGGTTGGGAGTCGGTATGTCTGCGTTATAGAACCTGAGGAGGTGCGAATGTTTAGTCTACACATGCACAGCTATATCTGAAACAAGCATGGATCCCTCTAGTTTGATCATTGTGAGTTCACGTTAAGCACTGGATGATTATCGAGGCAAATTTCTTGGATACTGTTAAACTGATTCCTATGTAGTTATCACAAGATAACTTTTGTCCCAACAAAACTAACAATTTTTATAGCCCAACGGTCGTGTTTGCTGATAGGTGTTGCCTTTTATCTATTGGACAGGACTGTTCTCCATGATTATCTCTTTAAGAAGGGTGTGGTTACTGGTTTTGCTAATGTTTTGGATGCATTGTGCAAACTATCTCACGTAGCGACTTCATGCATTCACCTCTCAACTGATCCAGATCAGTAGTGGATTTTGAGTTACTTAATTACACCATTCGTCTCCAAAATTTTCATAACATTCTGGAAACAGCTCCGATGTAATTAAGAAGTGGTGGTCTGGATCCTTTCACTAGAGAAAGTTTTGATATCGAGTACGCGAATGAAATTGTCTTACTGTCCGATGACGATTATTTCACTTTCACTCATCAGCTATAGTTTATTCAAAGTTCCTAGTCTCTATTCTTAAATTTCAAATGCAAAATAGCAAGTGCTATTGCTCTGCACAAATTTCATAGAAGGAAAATGGCATCAGTCATAACATCCGTTAGTTGTTTGCATGAGTGTCTACATAAATTTCACTCATGTTTAGAGTTAGCGCAAGTAACACGAAACCGTACTGGATTACTACACAACCGAAGATTTTGAATGGTTTGATGTTTTAACTACATTTACTTGAAATTCTCCCGTTTATATTCGCCAAAGTGACTTTTAAGTAAACTGATTTTCAAACCACATCGGAGTAGTTATTTCCATTCAATCATCTGTCAAAGATAAGCGGCTAACAAAGGCTATAAAAATTACTTGTGTCCACCGAAGCAGTTTAAAATTTAAGTATACAAATAACATACCCATCTTTTCCATTCATAAACGCACATGGTATCTGCACACGTCTGGAAGTATCGTCCTGAATCATGCTAAATGTGTGGATAGCCTTGCGGTTAAAATCATAAACAATCACAGCAACTGCACCGGCGACGTGAGCATTAATAGCTTTCGTGACGAAACTACAACCTCTATTTACACTGAAATGATACTGATAATTACCTACCCACGAATTATGAGAGCAATATTTCGATTAACTTCATGTGCATTACTTACCAGCTCACATGCGTGAGGAGGTTCTGTTACCACTAATGAGGTAGACGTAAATGTTGTATTCTTAAATAAGTAGAAGTCAATAAGAAAGATATTTACGTACAAAATGGGGTCCTATTTGACCAGGACTTAAGCGATATGTGAACGGCAGAGTAGATGGATTTATCACCCGAAGATGTAAATAATCATTTTCCCCTGAAACATATTCAATAAAGTTAGAACTAATGAACTTAGTCAAACCATTCGAAATAGTTATGAGGAGAAAAAATAACACAAGCGAAAGTAACATGCATGAACACAGACCAAATGACCCGCTTCAGCAATCTAAGGCGGAATGAGTATCCCCTAGGTCAATATTTAAGTGTTTGAAAATGTCTTTTGGATTATTATGTGAGGCAATGTGGCGGTAAATAAATCCCCAAAATAAATAGCTGTGTAAGTTTTCTACATTGTATGCTGACCACATTAGTTTTAATGGAATCACTTAGCTGAAGGCGCTCGGTCATGCATCCGCACCAGATCACGAGTGGGAATGCCGTGCTCAACAACTACTGCAATCACTAGCCAGATTGGATCAGACGATCCTCGATATATTGATTGACTATCAAATATATCTTCGAATCTCCTCGCTTCTGTATTTTGATTTCACTTGGTGGGTACGACTAATATTAGGTGTTACTGGTTAGAGCGTTGTCAAACCTGTGGCATCTTCAGCATCTACTTTCAGCTCGCGTTTTTAGAAAAATTTTTGTCGACTATTGTCTGCTATTTTCCAGGCATGCAAGGAAAAATCAAAACAGGAAAGCTTGTCCGTAAACTTTCTTGATGGAAACAAAGAACATTCAATTGATTATCCTATGTTTCCAGACTTCAAAGTGGGAACTTTCCTTAAGTTAAGCAACAATTCCTGTTTTAAACTCTTGAAGTTATGAAAAAGCGAAACCTTAGTCACTAACAATTATTGGTTGATGGGTAATACTTAAAATATATTCTTTCAGTACATTAGCAACTGCAGTAATTGCCGAAACTCCCTTAAAATGAATCTGTAACTGATTTTCTCGTTTATTCTTATGATTAACTCTTCAACCTACAGACTATGGTCATTAATACGTGTGAGCGTGTTTTCTGTTCATATTCTTTTGTATTTCACCCTAAAGTGGTTCCCTCTTGAAATTGTCATCTGGTAGTAAGTAAAGTAAGGTGCATTTGGTTTGGAGAGTCATTTGACCAAAACTTGGAGTTATACTACCGTAACTGCCTGTTCTCATTGTCATACCCGTTTCGCCGAACTCTCACTACTCTAAACAAAGTCGAATATTAGCAGCTCTTCGTTGTTTCGAATTCTTGACCAAGTGCACACGAGGTTCACTATATCCCTTACAAAGTGAGCTCATTTTTTAATATGAAATAAACTAATACTCGTCAATCACATCAACAAGAATTTAGGCCCTCACATGTCTATGTTTAGTAAGCAAGACTAGAGGAAGGCTTCGGTAGATTGATCGTACCGTTTCTTATATAGGATAAGGATGAAGTTGGGAATGACGCTAAACTACTCAAACAAATAAATTAATCAATCAATAAAACGAAATGCCTGCATAGAATAAGAAGGTCAGTAACGTCAGATTCTAATTATAACGTTCTTATTTTGATTGAAGACTTTTATTATATCTTAAGTACTTAATTTTGTTGTTATATCAGCCTCTATTTCAAGCTGCTTGAAATTTATCTGTGTTTATTTAATACTAACCATATTTACTCTGTACTTGGATCTAATAACTGGCTAACACATATTTTCATGGTACCATATTATCCCTCGTCTTGTCGGCACATGTCTTCTCACTTCAAATTATATCAAGTGGCCTGTAGTTAATTTGAGAAGCAAAACTATTGGTGTCAGGGACAGTAATACAAATACGAATATCTGATCAAGTAACGCGAGCAGACTGTAGGACCAGCGCAATGTCACTATGTTCTAACCAAACAGTCAGTCGGACCACTGAATGTCTAACTGCTCGCTGATCATCGTCAAGTTTAAGGATAACCAACGCGCACCAACTAGTTGTACGCCACAGACCGGCCTATGCGGTGGCAGTCACAACTTATCCGTTGTTCCCACTTTTACCAATAAGTTCCTGTAATAAAGTACTTTGTGTTATACAGCCATCAATGCAGCCACAGTAACTTGATACAACAGGAAGTTAATCCATGTCCGGTGTTGACTGCGAGACGTGTCTTTGATGCTAACTATCGGTTATACCAGTCCTATCTAACTTTAGTAGTCCCTAAACCATTCGACACAGATCATCTGCATTAATGATGTACAAAAATATTCAGCATCATTTTCCTTATAATTTTGGCATCTAAAATTCTCTGATCTCAACGTTTTATATCCACTTGCTTTCAAATTGTTTGGCTGTGGGGTTATGGAATAGCACTCAAAACAGTAATTTCTGCACTTATTTAATATCATAACTTTTTACGTCCCATTTTGTCCAAAAATAAATAAATATAAAAGAAAGCTTTTGGTTATGTGAAAGGTAATAATTTATTTATTATTAACTTTTTCCCTTAACTCTGAACATCAATCATTTATATTGCTCTAGTCGCGAGGTATGTCAATCGTGACTGATGGGTTTGAGTTGACCAATTTTTTAAAATTATTTCCTGAAGAGTTTACTGGCACTATTGAATCCGTGGGGTGTCTTTAAAATTTGACACAAGCTGTTCTCATATACTGATCTCCCAGAACAAAATTACGCACATCTGTATCGACGATATATAGAAGATAATGGTAATCCACAGAGTCACCTTACATTCCTTGTTGGATTTCGAGAGCTCCAGATATTTGAAAATGCATATTTTGGGACACATTTTCTCCGTCAATGCGAAATTAATTAGGTTGACTTCTCTCCTTCTGGATACAGTTAGTTATGATGGGACTCTTAAATGACCTAGAGAATGTCCACCAACTTACTGGCGCTAAATGATGTTTATAAACAATATAAAGGGATAGAGATTTATTGTTGGACGTAAGGTTTCTTAGTTAAACTTAGGGTTTTTATTACGAGCTGACGCTAAATTTAGTGCAAAAATGCTGTTCAGCCAGACGGAAAAATGAACTTTATGTTAATTTCCAAGACCCATATTCTTAACTCAGTTTGTTTCGTACACAAACTATAGTCTTATTAAAATCACATTAGCTAGTTTCGAAGGTAGCATAAGCCAAGTTTCAAACCTATTTTTATTCATTTATAAAGACTTGAACTGTGTGGTTTGTCTATCAGGATATGTTAGTGGTCTACCCACATCGAACAAAACATGGATATTCTTGCTTATAGAGTATTTTGGAAAATAGTTGTACTAATGAACAAGTAAAACCCTTCGTCAATTTGGTTTCTTTCGCAATAAATTCATGGAGAAATGGAGATATATATGTATAAGACTAAACCATCTTCAGGTTAATATCGGTCTATTATCAGTCTGTATCATATGAATTGGTCGCTAAACAGGATTGATTTGCATTATTCCTACTGCTGGGTAATGTAATTCAAAATACTTTCTTGTATACGGGAGAGGATTCATACTGTACTAACACTTGTATACATATAATATGTGATAATGACAACGTGCGACTAAAACGGGTTCATTAATCTTGTAAAATGAAGCCACTGCAACTTATGGATGGACACTTAATACCTCCTACAGGTATCCTAGAGAAATTGTCGGTCAAAAACACAGGTAAAATAGGAGAGTTGGGTATGAGTATAACAACTCCATCGCATGAAAGCAAACCTTGCCTCAAATGCCCTGACCAGATGAAATTGCTAAGGTCTATCCTGGAATTTGAAGTATATATTTACAGAGATGCAGTGACACCAAATGATGAAAGTTGAGATTCTTCCCGGAGTCATGAGGCTTATACACTCTTCTAACAAAAAAGGCGACAATTAATATAGCTTCATGGAATGTCAGCCAGCGTATGGGAACAGGAGGACCACTCACGTAACAGCAAAAATTAGAAAACACATCTTGGTAGTGTTCATAATAAGTGAGACCGTTGAATACAAGCTGAAAATGAAATGATTAGTTACAGGAGAGGTGTTATTTCACTCTAGTTATGAGGCGGAAAATGATTTAGTACATACAGGGAGCTGATCTGATGCTTTACAAAGAAGCACGAAGAGCATTTATGAAATGGGGATCTCATGGATTCGGAGTCATCCTTATAAAGAAAGAAGGAGCAGATCAGAATGAATGCTAAGCAACCACCAACGATAGCTATGAACGCAATAAAGATCAATCCTATGAGTAGCTGCAGTTGGTAATAGAGAAGTGACTAGTGAAAGACTTGACCATGTTAAGTAGAGAAGTAAACGCCAAAGTTGTAATGGAAAACATTGAGTACGTAGATATCGTAGTGCCACACGGAGTGAGAGAAAGGAAAACAAATGCGGAAGCAAAGAATACATAGAGCAGCATGAATGCCGCTAGGTGGTTTGAAGTTTGCAGATAATTTTTTTTATATCTCATGCACAGCAGCAAATTAAGGTGAAGACAGTAAGTGCAGCAACAGCTAAAAACTAATATTCTGAAGTGCAACACAGGAAAAACCCATGAAATCACACCTGATGGAGAAGCTCTAGAACAGGTAAACACTTTCACGTACCTGGGTGAAATTATTGATAGATAAGAAGGATCCATTGCAGGTGTCAAGGAAAGGGCTGAGAAATGAGAGCAGCATTCTTACACTCGAAGAACATATGGAAATCAAAACAAGCGTCAACCAACATCAAAGTCACAATCTTCAGTATGAAAGTCAACGCAGTCCTACTGTGCAGAGCTGAAACTTGGAGAACTATTACAACCATCATCAAAATGGTACAGGTGTTTATAAACAATTGTTTAAGCAAGATATTTAATATTCATAGAATGAACACAATCAGTACAAACCTGTTTTGACAGGAAACAACTCATTTTCAGCTAGAGAGGAAATTAAGGAAACATGCTGGAGGTTAATAGAACATAAATTGTGGAAATCATTAAACGTTCGTCTTATCCCTCGAATGGCAGATAGTAAAATATATATTACTGGGAGCTACATAATCTTCAACAGTTTAATCGGTTCCCAGTTAGAGTCAGGAAGCAGTATTTTTTTCCCTCACTCCAAAAAGTTAAGGACACACTGGAGCGTATCCAACGGTGAGCCACTAAATCAGTTCGGGGACTCAAATTCAAGCCTAATGAAGAGTGCCTATAATCATGAAACCTTTTTATTAGGGTACTGGAGTCCTAGAGGTGACCTTTTAATGGCTTATATCATCTTTAACACTTCTGGTCATCTTA